CCATCCCCTTTCTGCTACCCAGGGAGGGCGAGGGTTTCCATGGGGGATCTTCAAGTCTGTCATATCATTTGGCCTAGGTCCTCCCCCATGTGTCTAGACTGACAGAGTATCCCTCTATGTGGAATGAGCTCCCAATGGCCATTTGTACACTAGGGATAAATACTGATCCACTACCAGAGGCCCCATAGATTGTCCAGGCCTCCTGACTAACACCACCTTCAGGGGGCCTAGATCAGTCCTATGCTGGTTTTCCAGCTATCAGTCTGGGATCCATGAACTCCGCCTTGTTGAGGTCAGCTGTTTCTGTGGGTTTCTCCAGCCTGGTCTTGACCATTTTGCTCATCACTCTTCCATCTCTGCAACTGGATTCTAGGAGTTTGGCTCAGTGTTTAGCTGAGTCTCTGCTTCTGCTTCCATCAGCTACTGGCTGAAGGCTCTTGGATGGCATATAAGGTAGTCATCAATCTCATTACTGGGGAAGGGCATTTAAGGTAGCCTCTCCACTATTGCTTAGATTCTTTTTGTTTGTTTTTTGAGACAGGTTTCTCTGTGTAGCTTTGGAGTCTATCCTGGCACTGGCTCTGAAGACCAGGCTGGCCTGGAACTCACAGGGATCTTCCTGCCTCTGCCTCCGGAGTGCTGGGATTAAAGGCATGTGCCACCAACACCTGGCTATTGCTTAGATTCTTAGTTGGGATAATCCTTGTAGATCTCTGGACATTTCCCTGGTGCCAGATTCATCTTTAAGCCTGTAATGGCTCCCTCTACTATGGTATCTCTTTTCTTGCTCTCCTCTATTCTTTCCCCGACTCAATCTTCCTGCTCCCTCATGTCCTCCTCTTCTCCCCTTCTTTCTCCTAACTTCCTCTCCCCTCCTCCCTTCCTCCCAATTAGCTCCGGAGATCTTGTCCCTTTCCCCTTCTCCGGGGGATCATGTATGTCTCTCTTAGGATCCTCCTTGTTTCTTAGCTTCTCTGGCGGTGTGGATTGTAGGTTGGTTATCCTTTGCTCTATGTCTAAAATCCATATATGAGTTGAGTACATACTATGTTTGTCTTTTTGTGACTGGGTTACCTCACTCAGGGTGGTTTCTTCTGGTGCCATCCATTTGCCTGCAAGTTTCAAGATTCCATTGTTTTTTTCTGCTGAGTAGTATTCCATTGTGTAAATGTAGCACATTTTCTCCATCCATTCCTCAGGCTGGGGGGACTCTGGGTTGTTTCCAGGTTCTGGCTATAACAAATAATGCTGCTATGAACATAGTGGAACAGATGTCCTTGTTATATGAATGTGCATCTTTTGTGTATATGCCTAAGAGTGGAATTGCTGGATCTTGTGGTAGACTGATTCCCATTTTCCTGAGGAACTGCCATACTGATTTCCAAAGTGGCTGTACAAGTTGGCACTCCGACCAGCAGTGGAGGAATGTTCCCCTTTCTCCACATCCTCTCCAGTATAGACTGTCATTGGTGTTTTTGATTTTAGCCATCTGATAGGAGCAAGGTGGTATCTCAGAGTTGTTTTTATTTGCATTTCCCTGATGGCTAAGGATGTTGAGCACTTTCTTAAGTATCTTTCAGATTGGCTGTCTTTTCATCATGAGATGTTCACTCTGATTTTTGTTGTTGTTAGTTTTGTTGTTGTTGGTTTTTTTGTTTTTTTGTTTGTTTGTTTGAGACCAGGTCACTCACCAGCTTAGAATTCACCAAATAGCCTAGAGGCTGTCCTGAGAGAACTAAGGATCTGCCTGTCTCCAATTCTCTAGTTCTGAGCTTCCAAGCACATGCCACCATGTCCAGCTTTTTTTTCCATTTGTTTGTTTTCATTTTAATGTAGACATTGTACAGAGGTCCATTTCTATAGCAAACATTTTACTGATGGAACACTCTCCCCAGCAACCCTCATATCATTTCTTGATAGCACTTAAGGTCATCTTATTTCATTGAACTTCCTTACCGTCTAGGAGGCAAAGTCTTTTCAGTCAGGGCCCCCATCCTTCATGAACACTACTGAATTTTCAGCAGGCAACTGGACTCAGTAGACAAATGAACCATGTTGGTGAATAGGAAGTCAGTCAATAATGAGGGACCATGAGCACTGTCCCAGGATCACAGTAAGAACTCCATGACCTGAACCATGAAAATAAGTGCCAAGTCATGGAACTGCTTGTGTTGGGGGAGGTAGATTTGGGATTTTTAAGATGCTAAGTGGTGACTGTAAAGGGATGATCGAATGCTATGAGTTTCAGTGAATTATTTTCAAAAGCTATCTTCTGAAAAACCTGACTTAACCTGTGAAAACACAGATGGTTGTGTGGAAAGCAAAGGGTACATGGGACTGACCTCCTTAATTCCTGAAATGTGGCCTTATAGTCCAAAGCTCCAAGGAAGCCTTTGGTCAACTCTTTCCAGGGCATCTAAATAAAGAGGCAAAGTGGTAGGTGTGGTGATGTCTTTCTTGCACAAATAAAGCCTGTCTGAGGGTCAGAGAATGGAGCTTGCCACTAGCTAACCATAGAGGCCTGGAGGTCTGTATAGACAGACAGGAAGTGACATAGCTGGGCAGAAACAGGATATAAGCAGGGACAAACAGGAAAAGGTAAGGTGTGCCATGGCTTGCTCCTTCTCTCTGATTTCACAGCATTTCCCTCTATATCTGACTCCGGATATCTAGACCAATTAAGAACTCTTTTACAGGTGGGTGTAGTATGACAAGCAAGCTGGGAACTGTCCTATATGAGAGTCAAGAAAAAATGGGATTTCTGGTGGGGGAATCAGATTTCCAAAACCGGAGTCTGTTCTGGGTGCAGCAATTGGAGGCATTGAGTTTGCAGAGGAGACAGGATCTTGTTCATGGAACAAATTATACCAACAGCAAAGAGGAAGGCTGACACTTAGAAAAAGAAAGTCTAAACATGTCTCCCATGGAGGAGGGAAAATATAGTAAGCAATGTTAACACAAAGGATTCGTGTCAGTCACAAAATTAACCAATTCGATGCTGTGAGAAAACTCTGTCTGGATCTACCAATTTACGGTTGAAATGATTTTAGCTTCTAGAGGAAGAGAAAGGGAAAATGGAATACATTGAACTTGAATGGGGCAAAAATCAGGTGTTTTTGAACATTTTTCCCATTTTAGTCATCAGAAATAGGTTCCTTTCATTTAAAACAGAATTTATGCATGTTTCATATGGAACTGCAGGTTAAATTATGGAAATATTTGCCTCCTAACAGTAGAAGTTAGTGCTGTGGACTTTCATCAGTAGGAGAGACTAAAGGCATCCTCCAGCTAGTGATCATATATATCCATGCTATAAAAGTAATTTCTTTTTTGCAAGCATAGATATGTAAGAAATCAATAAATTTAACATGCAACTCAAGGAAATAATGCTGAGAATTAAAGATTTTTGTATCTGCAGTAATTTAAAAACTCAAAATGTAGCTTGCTTTGTACCAAAAATGACTGTCTCAAGGGTTTCTGTGCAGGAAGCATATTACCTCAGTTGGCCTCGTGAGGGAAGAAAGGAAAACCAGGTCAGCCTCTGCCCTTACAGTTTTGTCTGGGGCAACTAAGATCTCTGTGCCTCAGTTTCCCCTTCTATAAAATAATGATGCTCGCATGTGGATTTTTCTGAAGTTTAGCTGTGAGGATTCAGGTGACGCATTCAAAATCGACTACCTAGAAACTTGTAATTGTGGGGACAGATGGTGGTCTAGAGCAATGCTTCTCAACCTGTGGGTTGGGACCACTTTGGTAAACCTCTGCCTCCCAAAATAGTTACGACAATTCATGAAAGTAGCAAATTTATAGTTATGAAGTAACAATGAAAATAATTTTATGCTGGGGGGTGGTCACCACACCATGGCAGCATTTGGAAGGTTGAGAACACTGTTCTAGAGACTTTAATTTTACAAAGACACCTTCTAACATTAAAGTTGGGGGAATCTCATGCATCACTTAACCCTATTCAATCTCCTGGCCCCATAGCCTCAGGAAGTGACAGTGTGGCCCGTGCTTACACAGTCAATGAGATGTGGGAGCCAAGTCACTTGTGGGAAGTTTTAATTATCAGGATGCTCCTGAGATCTAACCTGCTTGGTCCCTGCTCTGAAAGCCATCAACCCAGGAGTCCACATTGGAGTAAGCGCCCTTCTCAGGACAGCTGCCAGGAACTTGAATGTGGCTTGATCTTCCTAACGAGAAGACTTGACAGAACAAGGAGGCAAGGCTTTCTGACTTCCTTGATTTCCAACCCATGCTTGGAAAGAGTAAGAGTTTCCATAAAACCTCTAGAAAGACTCCATGGCATGCTTTAAAATTTTAAATTCAAGTGAATGCTAAAATTAGGAATATGTGTGTATTTCTTCAGAAGGCACACCTAACAAGTAGCAGAGGACATGTCACCATTTCATCAATTTATTTTCTGTCTCCAAATTTTGTCAATACTTTATGGTAAGAGCTTTCTTTAGGCAGGGAGCAGTAGCTGGATGGGGACCTGGGAACACTGGAAAAATGTAATAGTGGCAGCAGTAAGAGACTAGTTTTGTATCCGACATAATTTTACTTCTACATCGGACAAACCTTTAACATGTTTATTGCTGTTATATGAAAGGTAGAGCATTCAAATGTCATAAGTCCAAGCGAAGAAGGCAACTTGATGGTGATAGTTTGAATAAGAAGAAATGGCATGGCATTGCCCTCAATCCTCATGGAAATAGAGGCCATCTCACTTATGACCCATTTACAGACTTGGTACCTAGAACGAAATAAAGTTTCCCAAAAAGGCACACTGGAAATAAGCATGATTCAGGTTGGTGTCTAGTGTAAGATATCCTAGAATAGCGGTTTTCAGCCTGCAGGTTGCGACCCCTTTGGGGTCACATATCAGACATCCCATATATCAGGTATTTACATTATGAAAACACTGGATACTTCACTTGTGGTGATGTTGATGCCTGCATTCAACAGAAGTTCTGCCCCTGGCAGTCATCTTCATTTTCTTACTCGTTTTCTTCAGAGGGCTCATTTTTCTGAATCAGCCACACTTCATTATTTCTCTCAAGTAACTGGAAAGGACTGCTGTAGCCAGCAGTGTAAAAGACCTTTTCATTGAAAACTTTCCCTTCTTCCCTCAAAATGTTTGCTAATGTCAAAAGCTGTTCTTGATTCTTTTGGCCACTGGAGAATCCATCAAAAGACCTACAGAGGAGAAATCAATTGCACATGAGTGGTTCTACTATGGATACCAACGCCAATCTGAGATGAACAGCAGGGTCTGGGTGAAGTGGCTTCTAGGCAATCACTGACTTTCATGTCCAGGCTTTAAGTTCACTTGGCAGAGACCCAGGAAAACTCTCACTTTCTTGTGTGTGCTAACATATACAAAAGTCACCCTAGAACATTATTAAAATGCATGTTGAGGGTGTGTAGATTAGGGCCGAAGTGCAACTTTCCAGAAGCAAGCTGATGCTTCAATTTATAGAACCACACAGAAGCCCCCTCAGACACTCACTCTTCTTCCACACTCCAAGTCCCTTATCTCCCTCCTATCTCTCTCTCTCTCTCCCATCATTCTTTTTCTCTCATATACAATGCAGGCTGCCTTGAAAGTCGCTGTGTATCAGGGACTCTTGCTATATAGCTCAGGCAACACTTAGAGGCACTGTGTTGTGGTATATTTGTACACTGTGTGAAGATATATTTGCTGTGATTATTGTAAAAAGCTGAACAGCTAGACAGGATAGGTGGGACCTCCAGGGAGAGAGGAAGGGGAAAGATGGCAGAGGAGCAGGGGAGACACCAGGAAATATGGAGAGAAAATGAATGGTATAAGATGAAAGAAAGGTAAAAAGCCACATGGTAAAAACATAGATTAATAACAACAGGTTAATTTAAGTTATAAAAACTAGTGGGACAAGCCTAAGCTAAGACCAAGCTTCTTAATTTATAATAAGTCTCTGTGCAGTTATTTGTGAACTGGCAGACCAAAGAAAAATCTGATCACACTATGTAGCCAAGGCTAACCTCAAGCTCATTATCTTCGTTAACTCAGCCCACCCAATGCCAGTATTATGGGAGTGTGCCATCAAGCTGGACTTTATTGTGTTGTGTTTCTTTTGTTCTGTTATTGTTGCTTCATACTTTGAGATGGAGTGTTAGTTGCTCAGGCTGGGTCAGAACTCTCAGGTTTAAGTTAACTTCTGCCTCAGCCTCCCAAGTACCTGGGACTCACAAGAGTATGTCAACAGACCCTAGTCAGACATTCAATCAACTGCTTCCTCCCTTTTCCTCTTCTGGGGCACACAATGGGATACAGATGAATATAATATAATTTGGATGTCTACACATTCATAGTCCAGTGAAAGATTAACATTTTGCCAGCATTATCTAAACATCCTGAGAAAGTATTTTTAACAGAGACAGGATCAAAGGGCTCTGGGAATACTTAGGATGGCACTCAATCCAGGCTAATAGGTGTCTTCTGAATTGGTCTTATAATGAAGGATAGTTTTCCTGAACAAAGGAAGGGGGGATAAGAAAAATGGAAATGACAAAGTACAAAGCACTGTCACAGGGAAGCATAAGATGGGGTCCAAAAGAAGAGCTGAAGCAAGAACTTTGCATATTAACCTATGAGTTTTTGGGATTATGCTACATGATGCCAAGCAGAAAGGAACCTGATCAGATCTGGGTATGAACAACATAGGCCAAGAGACAGGACAGATTAGTGGGATGGAGCCATTACAAGGATAGGAAGGGAAAGAGAATAAAAGTTAGTACAAATGGGCCGGGCAGTGATAGCATATGCCTTTAGTCCCAGCACTCGGGAGCAGAGGCAGGCAGATCTCTGTGAGTTTGAGACCAGCCTGGTCTACAAAAGCTAGTTCCAGGACAGACTCCAAAACCACAGAGAAACCCTATCTCGAAACCCCAACCCCCCCTAAAAAGAGTACAATGGTTTTTTACTTGGACAGTTAAAAATGAGAAATAAAAAGTATTTTTAATATGCTTCATTGGTATAAGTTTCCTTATAAATGTGCCAATGCAAAACAAAAACCAAACAAACAAAAAAAACCAGTCTGTCAGACTCAGATAAAACATGATCCTTCAAGAAGATCAAAGACCATGTTTATTCAACAATGTCTGTCTATTCCTAGAGGCACACTGGCAGAGGGCAATAGCAAGGGCTGGGCCACCATAGATAGTCCCCACTACATAGCCATCCCTAATGGAACTGTGGGAGAGGGCACAGCACACCATATTAGAAGAGTTACTGGTATATAATTGTAACCTGGTAGAATCTACAGGGAGGTGACTCTAAGACAGTGGTGCTCAGTCTTCCTAATGCTGTGACCCTTTAATACACTTTCTCATGTTGTAGTGACCCCCCAACCATAAAATTATTTTGTTGCTACTTCATAACTGTATTTTGGCTACTGTTGTGAATTGTAATGGCAACATCTGATATGTAAGATTTCTGATATGTGACCCCCAAAAGGGTTGCGACCCAACAGGTTGAGAACCACTGCTCTAAACCATGACAACTTTGTTGGGCTTGGGGGCACCTGAAATCATGAGATACATCTGTGTGGGGCATCAGGAGCCTAATTTCTGTCCAGCAAAGCTTTGAAGGTCTAACCTCTAGTCCTGTGGACCTGGGGGACAGACCCTTGAGTCAAAAAGATTAAAGTCTTGAGATTTGGGTCTTGATTGAGACCTATTACTATTTTCCTATTTGGAATGAGGCTGTCTCTCCCATGTATGTCACATTGTTGTACTCTGGAAGCCCACAGCTTGTTTGACTTTCCAGACCCACAGCTGGGGAGAATTTGCTTAAGGATGAATCATGCTTTGAGTCTCAGCCAGATTTTATTTGGATGGTATTTAAATGAGTCTTTTGAGTAAGTGCCAAAATGAGCTAAGATTCTGGTGTTGCCGAACATTTGTTTACACTGTGTGAAGATGTGTCACTGTGACTGGTTTAATAAAGAGGTGGATGGCAATAGCTAGACTGGAAAGAATAAGTGGGACTTCAGGGAGAGAGAGAGAGGTACTCGGGATGAATCTGGGCATGCAGGAGAGATGCCAGCGACAAACTGAAAATATTGGACATATAATACAAAGGAAAGGTAACCAAGCCACATGGCAGAACATAGATGAATAGAAATGTTAATTTAAGTTATAAGAGCTAGTTTGGTTGCAGGAAAAGCCTAAGCTAAGGCCAAGCTTTCATAATTAATAGTAAATCTCCATGTTGTTGTTTGTGAGCTGGTGGCTCCAAGGAAAGTCTGGCTATTTTCTGGGACTAATAGAATGGGACTGAAAGCATTTTGTGCGAGAAAGACACAAAGTTCCTGTGATGGTTTTAAGAGCCTCTGGAGTGATTAGGTCATGGGGTGAGCCCTCAATGAAATGGATTATCAGCCATACAAAGAGGATCAAATGTGCTCATATAACCAAGGGACGGTCCCTAGCCAGTCACTAAAACTCCCAGTGCCTTGAACCCAGCTTTTAGAAAGAACTACAAAACCCAAATTTTTGTTTCTTATAAGCTATAGAGTCTATAGTATTTGTTTTGACAGCTCAAACAGACTAAGATGACATCATATACTGTTTTGTTTGAAGGTGTTATTGTTCAGGTCTACTTAGGTTATAGGAAAGGGTGGCCCTATGCTCTGGGTAATAATTGTTTGTGCTATGTTTTATATGTGGAAGGTATTTAACAGACTTCTCAATAAATAGATTATATTTTTCAATAGACCTCATGACATTTTAAAAGTGAGCCAGTGGGAAAACACCATGAATGTATTAGACTGCGCTTGCGGAAGGGTAGAAAGCCTGCTGAAATTGCATAGGAGCTAAATGGTGAACGCACATAGGTAAAACAGGCTAAAGTCAGCCGACTGTGAATTATCTACCACTTACCTTACAAACACAGTCATCCCAGCTCTGTCTTCAATGAAGACATCTGACTCTGAAGGCCTGGGTGGATCCGATTGCAGCTCAGAGGGGACATACAGGGAAATGGTAATGGTAGACTCACTAAAAGGACTTGAGCCGGGCTCCACGTAGCTTGTCACTGGAGCCGTCAGCCTCATTTTCATCTCTGCAGCATGAAAAATGAAAGCACCTTCAGCGCGTTCACGGCTAATTTGAGTTTTAAATTTATTCTTTTTTCTTTTTAGATTTTATTTATTATTATGTATACAACATTCTGCTTCCATATATATCTGCACATCAGAAGAGGGCACCAGATCTCATAATGGATGGTTGTGAGCCACCTTGTGGTTGCTGGCAATTGAACTCAGGACCTTTGGAAGAGCAGTCGGTGCTCTTAACCTCTGAGCCATCTCTCCAACCCCCTAATTTGATTTTTTAAAGCTATTTTTATGTGACTTTCTTGGTTTACTTTACAGTACCAATTATATGCTGACATACCTTTGAGATAATGTCTCATCTTTTAAAGAAGGGTTGGTGGTGGAATGGCAATTGTTCATAATCTACATTAAACATTTTCTATAATGTTATATTCTGGGGTTAGTGAATTCTGTTTTTCAAACATAAAGGAGAAATTACAGAAAACATGGGGCAATTAATTATTTTTTCTTTACAACTCAGAAAATGAGGTCCTCTATGCAAGGATTCAGGCATTATGCTGGCCTGCCTGTCACCTGGCAGTACCTGGTCAGTCCAGGTGCAAAGGACCCCTTTAAAACAAAGACCCCCATCTACTTTCCCGCTGTTCCCCTGGGGCAGACAGGATGTTTCCTGTCTCCCTCTTCTCTTATGTCCTCTCTCTGTCTCTGTGTCTCTTTACCTCTTTTCTCTTTCCTCCCCGCCCCTCCCCTTTCTAATAAAATTTCTCATTTAAGCTCTGTCTGCCTGGCTTGTTTGTCCCCGCCTTGGTCACCCTCGCCTGCCATGAAATCTCCAAGGTTCCCCCTCTCGCGCTTTTTTCATAACACTCTAGACTAAGAAACCTGCAAAATTACACACACACACACACACACACACACACACACACACACACAAGTTATGACTTGTGGGTCGGGCTCTTGCACATCTTCCTGTCTCCTGGTATCACTAGTTATCATTCACAAATTATTAGACATTTGCCACAGGTAAGTCCCATTTTGTCGAACAAAAATTGGGGACGAATAGAATTGACCCAGCAGCACCTTCTTCTAGCTACACTGTTTCCTAGGGCCAATCCTGTGTGGAAACAGGATTTCAATGGTCTGGTTATTCATCTATTACAAACGAGATTCCTTCAGTAAGTTTAAACTCAAAGATCTCAGGATCTCAGTGGCTACTTTTACCTTTCTCATTTTTGCCTTGAATGTAGTCATTCAGTTTTGTAAAGCCAGTCTGGATGGCTGAATCCCAGTCCATAGACTCCACACAAGTGCTGACCCACTTGGCTGGTCCGTAGTGTCTGATTTCATAACTTCCAGGCTAAAATGGAACAGAGAAAACTTCTAGAAGCAACTCCTGGACATTGGGAGATGAGAGTCAGCAAGACCAGTAACCTCAATCCCTGGTCTACCAGGAGACCACCTTGCCAAGGGACTGCTGGGGCCCCAAGGTCTCGTCTGAGGTTCGCGGCATTAAGACAAGAAAGTCCTCTCCGGAGAGCTCCCTTTGGGATGGGGGAGCTGACACTGCCCTAAGGGCATGTTAAATGAAACACGCATCCCTTAGAAGTACTGGGATGTTCCTCCCTACTTCCCCCACCCCAAACAGGAAGTGGAGACATGGCTCTCACCTGGGTGGGGGTGGGGGTGAGGTAAACAGCGCATCTCCTGCCTGGTTTGGGCAGAATCTAAAATAGTACTTTTCATGTGACTTTATGGGACTCTTCGATTTCACTGTAAAGCAGCCCAGATACAACCTTGCGGGCCCTGGAAGACACCTACCTGGGGGTCTGTGTCCTCTGGAGCCTCCCAGCCCGGCATCTCCACCGCAGGCTCCACTGCACCCTCCCCAGCCCCGAGGTCTGCCTCTGGCTCTTCGGCCATGGGCAAGGACAGCTCACGAGGGGCGCGCACCTGGGTCACCCTGTTTGTGTGCACTAGTCACCTTGTCCTGAGTCCCCGCCCTGCGGGTGCACTGCCTCGTAGCCCTGACTGCTGGGTCGGTAGGACAATCCAGGGGTTTGAGCCGCGAAGGGGCCCCGCCTGTGCGCCAGCCCTGGCCGCGCCCATCCGCCGGGACAGGGAGGTGGGCCAGGATCCGCCAGCTGGCCTGTCGTCACCCGGCTCCTCTGCAGAGTCCCTGCCGCCTAGGTTTTGCAGAGCTTGGCTGTGGTAGCAGTGGGCGGAGACCTGAGCCACTGCACACTTGGTTTCTGTGGAACCGGTCTGGGCGCCTCTCCCTAGGCTGCAGACGCTGCCAGCTCCTCTGCAAAACCAGTCTACTGTGGCAGCAGGGGACTGACTACCTGACCTCCCAACTTCAAATCATTTTATTATCTGTTTAGCCCACCGAATTCAGTTAGTGCTACTTGTGTGCACTCGGGCGGAAGTCACCCTCTGCGGCTCTGGGAACCTCCGTGTCCCAACAGCCAGTAATGACACAGCTCTTGAGGGTAGGTCCTCCTCCCTCATGAATTACGTGTATGTGTATTAATTTACCCCTTCTAGTCAATGATCCAGACCCGGTGGTACATCCCTGCAACCCCAACACTATGGTTTGGAAGCAAGAAGCTCAGAAATTCTAAGTGACCCTTGACTACACACCAAGTTTGAAGCCACTGCCCTACCACCTTTAGCCTTGTGAAAATGCCTCAAAAACAGAAAAATCAATAGTAATAAAATGTACTGCTTAATGATTTTTAAGTGTATTTATGGAGTTATGCAACCGTTACAATGCTAGGACTTTTTTTCTTAAAAAAAAAAAAAATCAATTCCCCACCTTAGCCTTTCCTCGGCCCCTGTGCTAGTTAGTTTTGTCAATTTGGTATAAACTAGGGACATATGGGAAGAGGGAGTGAACATCAACTGTGAAAATGTCTCCATCAAATTGGCTTGTAGGCAAGTCTGTGGGGCATTTTATCTGATTAATGATTAGTGTGGGATGACCCAGCCCACTGTGGGTGGTACCACCCTGGGAAAGTAGTTCTGGGAAGTATTAAAAAGGTAACTGGGGCTGGGAGTGGTGGCATGCATGGCATTAATTCCAACACTCCACTAGAGAAACACAGGCAGATCTCTGAGTTTGAGGCCCACCTGGTCTACAAAGTGAGCTGCAGCACAGCCAGGGTTATGTAGAGAGACCCTGTCTCAACAAACCAAAAAGAAAAGAAAGCTAGCTGACGGTGAGCCTGGGAACATATGGTGTTCTTCCACATTTCTGCTTTAATTCCTGCCCCCAGGTTGCTGACTTCCTCAATGATCAACTGTGGTATGGAAATGTAAGGCAAATAAACCCTTTCCTTTCCAAGTCACATTTGGGTGGTGCTTTATCACAGCAACAGAAAGCAAACTAGAACACTGATCCCTAACTCCTAGAGCCATCCTCTAAGTGCTAGCTTGCAATTATCTTTGGATGGCTTGGTTGGAAACCCAAAAGTCTAAAACCAATACAGAACAGAGAGCCTATCCATCCTGCACCTCCCACTCTGGCAGGTGACTCTGTTTAGGTCATTTCTGGAAAATGTCAAGGAACTAGGAAGTGTAAGAGTCTCCCAAAGTCACTGTGTCCACACCTACCTCCCAGACATTTCATATGAGTAGAACCATGGCAGTGTATACTGCTATGTGACTAATTTCTTCTGTTTAAAATGTTGTCAGGGTTCAGGCATGCTGTAGCATCCCTCTTTTTTATGTTCAAATAATGCCTTTTAGAAGCACTTCATTTATCAATGGGTAGTTATTTGGATTGTGTCAGCTTTGGGCTATTATGAATAATGCTGCCATCAGCATCTGTGCAGGGAAGGTCAGAGGGAGGGGAGAAAGAAGACAGGTTGCATACAGGTTTCCATGTAGACATAGGTTTTTCTTTCTCCTGGGTGGAATTTCTGGGTCAAGTGGAGAGTCAAGCTGTTCTTTAACCAATTGACACTCTTACCAGCCGAGTGTGGGTGCTCTATTTCCCTACATCCTTAGCAGTTACCTGGCTTTGAAAACTATAAGTATTTCGGGGGTATACAATTGGCTTTGTAGGTATAATTTTTATTACATAAAATGTGATGTTTCAAAGTGTTCAATTCAGTGGCACTTAGCACATTCACTAAGTTGGAAACCCAGCAGCACTATCTAATCCCAGAGTAGTCTACCATTGCATAAAGCAAGCCCACAAAGCTGAGCAGTCACTCTCCGTTTTGACCCATACCCTTGTCCCAACCCCTGGCACCCAACTGATCTTTCTTTTCCAAGTCACATTTGGGTAGTGTTTCATCAGCCACAGAATGCTATGTCTATAGATTTGCCTCCTCTGAGCATTTTGTATCCACAGATCACACAGCATGTGATCCTCCTTGACTGGCTTCTTTCTCTTACTGAGAGAGCTAGTGTTTTCCAACTCTACCCATGCTATGGTCATGGATCAGTCCTCTGTTCTTGCTCATTCCTGGAAAATAGCCCATTGTTTGGGCTGGGTAGTTTAAGCTACTTTCTTTCTTTGCCCTTCCCTGCCTGAACTGTGCAAAGAACACAGGCCATACACCGCTGTCTAGGTGTTACAACAAATCTACTATGATTCAGAGATAAGCTTGAATTATTTAGTGCAAACTCCATAGTGAATTTTGACGTATTTTTAAAATGTCTGTTAGCCAGGCAATGGTTGGCACATATCTTTAATCCTAGCACTCAGAGGCAGAGACAGGTGGATCTCTATGAGTTTGAGGCCAACCTGGTCTACTGATTGAGTTCCAGGACAGCCTCCAAAGCTACAGAGAAACCCTGCCTCAGAAAAACAAAACAAAACAAAAAAGTGTTACACTTGGGAGGAAGAGGCAGTGGAATCTCTGTGAGTTTGAGACCAGCCTAGTCTAAAAGAGCTAGTTCTAGGACAGCCTCCAAAGTCACAGAGAAACCCTGACTTGAAAAACCAAAGGCAAAAAATGTTGCCTGTTTAGGTTACCTGTGCATTAGATGTGAGCTACTGTTTAAGTTGGCTTCAAAAAATTGAGAAAATAATATTTTAGTGCAGGTTTTCTTTTATTTTTTTAAAGAGGAAATGGAAGTAACGTACAATGTTAAGTTTTTTTTTTTTTCTTTCAAACTGAGAATATCTTTGGTTGGGGAAGGAGACTATTTGATCTGCAAAAAACAAACCAATTGTGGAGGCATGCCGGCTATACTTGCAGAATATGTAATCCATAGAGATGCCAGCAGGTGACCAGGCTACTTTTCTATTTTTGAAAATGGTGATTAGTCATATATAAGAGCAGAAGAAAGGCAAGGTTTATTCCAAAATAGTGGGATTGTATTTTAGAACAAGTTGTATAAAATCTAAAATAGTCAAGTTTTATAGCCATATTGCAAAATCACTAAGTTCCTTACTGGTAAGTTATGGTTAAATTGTTCTATAATCTTAAACTTAACCAAAGTTTTATGCAATGCCACAAGGTATTTTTTTACTTATGATTATGAAAATCAAGTGCAGTGGGGTCCCTTTATAGCAAGGGGTCTCCACTATTAATCCCAGTTAGGGAAGGGAGCACCAGGCACTGTAGCAGGATCTTCATGTCTGTGGTAGTCACATTCTATACAGTTCCCATGAGTACTGAGATCAGTGAATCCTGGACCTTTACCATAGGGCAATACAGAGTAGGTTCCTGTGAGCTTCTGGCTACAACATTTTTGTCAGCCAATCAGTACTGGACTTGGTTTATAAAGATGCCAGACTAAACATTCCCCTGCCCCCACTAAGTTGATTCATAAACAGTGAACTCATGGCGAATAACATTTTACCTTATGCCTGAATGAAGCTCCTCTGGCACATGTAATTTCTCCCCAAGGCTTTTTAACAACCTGCTCTTGCACTGAGGAGAAGTGGCCAGTGACTGTACCTGGAGGCCATTGCACACAGAGACTCACCAGCTAAGAGTACATGGAGGAAGCCGGGTGGTGGTGGCGCACGCCTTTAATCCCAGCACTCGGGAGGCAGAGGCAGGCAGATCGCTGTGAGTTCGAGACCACATGGTCTACAAGAGCTAGTTCCAGGACAGCCTCCAAAGCCACAGAGAAACCCTGTCTTGAAAAAAAAAAAAAGTACATGGAGGAGGAAACCATGACAAATGAGTGGACTGTGTGACCAGGACATTGTTGGAATGTGTGATCTATAACAAGAAGGCAGAGCAGCCTCTCTGACCTCAGTTGGGTGTGTGTGTGTGTGCAATGGGCAATCCAAAGGTGTCCTTGCTCTGTGCATGTCCAGGAAAGACTGGAAAGTTCATGAATACAGACCTCTGCTGTCTCCTAGCAACTCCCAACTCTCCTACATTCCTCCTGCAGAGTAGTCCTAAAGGCACACAAACTACATGCCAGGCTCACTCTCAGTATTAGCTCCAGACTCGGTACCCACTTTCTGTATTGGTTACTTTCATTGGTGCTGTTTAAAAACCACTGACAAGAAAGAGCTTCTTAGTTTATGTAGCTACCACCCACCACGAAGAAGAGGACATGCTAATAGGAAAGTGAGATGGTTTGTGGCATCAAAGTCTGCAGTCACGAAACAGAGAGAAGATGGGAAGTGGGACCAAGCTCTAAAATGTCAGGCCCACCTACACTTTCATGACCTACTTCTCTAGTCAACCTCTGCCCCATAATGGTTCTACAATATCCCAAAATAATGCCATTGACTGGAGACCAAGTGATCAATCTCATGAGCACACATGGGATATGTTACATTCAAATTACAGTAACAAGTATTCAGATAATTCCAGCCCTTCCAATGAGTCACTTCCAGATACCCTCAAGTCTTATTTGAGATAGACTTTAGAGGTCCTGGAGATGTAGGTTGTTCCTGTAGTGTTCACAGAATCTGTGAAGGAGAATAAAGGGACTGGAGCGAA